TGCCCCCCCCCCCCCCCCCTCCCCCCCGTCGGGGCCAGAATCCTCGCGAGGGGTGTCGTTTTTTAGCCCTCCCAGGAGTCGAAGTTGACCCCCCTGACGACCCGCGCCCCCCCCCCCCCCCCCCCCCCCCCTCCAGGCCCAGGGGAACGGGGTGGGGGGAGGGATAAACCCCTCCCCGAAGGGGAAGAAGGGGGGTTGATGACAGAGAGAGCTCGCTAAACCACTCACGCCCAAAGGGCTGGTGGGACTTCTTCCGCATCGAGAAAGTAGTATGGGTTAGGTTGGCCAAGGGTCCATAAGCTGCCTTCGGTGGCTTACGCTGACAGTTGCACGTGGGTCCATTTTGACAATGCTGTAGATCCAGGTTTCCATTGCTATGAAGCAGAAGGCACTGCTCTGAATGTTCATGATATAACTGGATCAGCACATTCGAGAATCATCCAGTGCATAAAGTCCACTAGACCTCAAGTGGGCTTTGACCAATATATGACAAAGTTGGAGGAACTGGCTGACACGCTGGCACAGGACGAAAACGCCAGAGAAGCCCCAGGAGCCGAACCACCACAGGAGGATGGACGGCCTCATAGTAGATGAGGAATCAGAAGTGGACCTTGGTGCGCAGATTACGGAAGTGTGGTGCAGAATTACATGAAGGAACTACTGGAGGCAATTCCATTAGATGACCTTCGCGTTGTACCCGCACATCTGAGTACCGATAACAGTGTGCTGGTCACTGTAGCTGAAGGACAGCGGGGGCACCTGCCTAAGTGGGGATATTCACGCGACTCCAACATCGAGGAGACGTATCATGTGCCATTATGATCTACGGTCGAAGTCCACGGTTACGGATTGGACTCGGACGAGAATGGTCAATTTGTAGACTTCTGCTTCGCGGCAGAAATGTCAAAGGTAGTCCAATCCGAACAACGGCATTGGATATTCGATGCCGACCGTGTAATCACCATGCGAGTGCATGTCACCGCCGCTGCAAAACGAGCTGCGGTTGCCAAGGAAGACGACCTCCTCGCGAAGGCTGACGTCCAGGCGAACCCCGAGACAGTTTCAAAAGGCCCTATATACTGTTAAGACGTGGTTTGACAGCAAGCGCTTCGAGGTGCAATTTATATATACATATATTTACATATATATATATATCCAAAGCGTCAAGCATCACGACTTCGAGGCACGGGTATACATGGAAGTTCGTGGAGAACGGCAAGGGCGAGATCGAGCGCGCCATCAGAGCGCGCCTGGTGCTTCGGGGCTTCATGGGCCTTGAAGCTTTTGATGTGGAAATCTTCTCAGGGGCAGCGCGGCGGCCGATCCAGAGATTACTCGCAAGCGCGGCAGCGTGCAAGAAACAATGAATCATTGCTTCCCCTGGCATCACCATGGTTTTCCTGAAAAGATGAACCTGCCAGGAACTTGCTGAGGCAACTGGTGAGAAGGAACGCGAGGCGTGCTTTACCTTGCCGCCTCGATCGGGAACGGTGCCTCGATCCCTCCCAGGATTCGAGCACTACGACGAGTCGAAGCACTGCCTGCAGTGCCTCGAGCCAGGCACCGGCACCAAGGATGCACCCGGAGCTCTCCCACTAGAGGCTCTGGTCTCAGACCCACGTCGCACGACGAGGAGTGCGAGACATGCAGTAACTTGCTCACAGCCAAACATGTTGATGATACGAGTATGGCCGGCACTGAGGACACCATTGACAAGTGCGTCAATTGTGTCGAGGACACTTTTGGAAAGTGCAAACTCAACAAATTTACATATATATATATATATATTTATGTATACACCAATTGTGATGTGAGGTGCACAGACGATGGGGCCGGCAATGTTGCATTGGACCAAGATGAACACATCAAACAGCTCCATCCTATACAACATCCTGAACTCACCAGCGCCGACACTGACGCCGAGGCATCCAATATGGTTGCAGACATGTTCGTCAGCCTCAGAGGCGCATTGACTTACGCATTAATCACCCAAGTGTGGTTGATGGTATATGTGGTCTCTCTGCAACGTGTCCACAACCGACCAATGTACAAATGCGACGACTGAGCGCGATCATCAGGAAGTCGTAGGCCTGGCCTAAGAATATCGTCTATCAATCGATTACTCCAACGGGCGAAGTTGACCTGCACAGCGACTCCAGCGATCTACGCCTGAGTGGAGATGCCGACGATCGCGGGGCAAATCTGCTAGGGCGTGGAACCACGCCATCCGGTATGTCTGTCGTCCACTTGATCGATGCGTGCTGCAAGTCTCGCCGCTTGCAGGCCCGCTCAAGCTATTCCGCAGAGACACTTGCAGCAGCCTGCAACTGGGAGGACTGCTATCCCACGATCGTGACTCTGCACGGGATGCCACGACCGTGACTTTGCGATCCCACGATCAAGGTCACCCTGGCCATAGATGCTGACTCTGCTTTCAAGTCCTTGTCAAGCAAAGACTTGAAGTAGCCGACTGGGTGTACCCTTTTAGGACACATCAGTTGAATACGGCAGATGATGGAGCGAGGGATCGCGGATAGTATTCAGTGGTGTGACACTCGCGACATGACCGCAGATGGTCACACAAAGTGGAGCATTGGCACATATATATATATATATATATGCTCCCACAGGTCATGGGAGGTACGCAATCCTTCAAGCATGACTTAAAGCGTCGTACTCCCTATCGGGCTGGCCAGACATCTTGGTCTGTGGCCGCCTGAGGAGTAGTCACATGCACAGCAGTGTGCTTGCAAGGCAACTTGGGCGCGGGTCCGCCTTCCTCACGGCCCCGCCTTTTGCTGCCTTTTGTATATAGTACCTGCTGTATCTGCGGCATAGTGGCGGCAGACTCACGCTTCGTCTCCCCCCCCCGATTCTAAAGCGAGCTGGGGCAAGGGCGAGAGGCGGCGAGCGTTTGTCCGCGGCCGTTTGTGCTCATGCGGCCGGCCGCCGATATCTGATTGCGCCTAAATACGAGGCATGCGATTCGCCATCGAGACCGAAGACATCCTTCGCTTGAGATGGCCCGTCGCTCCCGCGACGACCTCCTACTATTGGGACTATCGTTGCAATGGCACAACAGAGCTGGGGCCGTGCTTCACCTAAGGCGAAGTTTCTGGTTGGGCCTACTGGCCCCCTTCAAACTAAGTGCCCCGCATTCGGTGCGAAGGTCTGCGCCCGCGTCAAGGATGTCCCGCGGTCCATGTGGGCGCGGCGGAGCGGGCGCGGGGCGCCGCGATCCTGGGCGCGGGCGCGGAGAGCGAGTGGTTGATCTGGCGGAGGGGCCCTGGAGCGAAGCGACCTGAGCAGCAGTGGATCATCGAGTCGTCGTCGTTGTTCGCAGTTGTGCCTGAAGACTCCAGCATTGCAGGGGGCGCTCGCTTCGAGGGTCTAGGAACTGCGGATTCAACCAGATGGCGTTGCAGAGGCGCAGCCCGTCGAAGCGACCGGCGCTGGATCGCCGGAAGGTGCATTTCATGTTGACCACGGTGTCGGACGAGCCCCTGAAGGAACGGGGCCCCGAGATCAGTGGCGACCCGAATGCGCCCCTGGGGCCCCCTCCATCCGCGGGATCATCGGGCGACCATCATCGACGACCTTCCCGCGCAGGCGGTGGCCCAGATTTGTTCGAGGAGGCGTCGCCGAAGGGCATCGCTTGTCCTGCGCGCCGTGGCCCGCGCCGCGCGCGCGCCCGAGATGCGCGCTGCGCGCGGGCCCATCCTGAGCGACGATGGCGAGCAGCCCTTCGATCGCGGAGCTTCCAGCAGCGGATTCAGCCGCCCTGCCTGCCGCGGCCGACGCGTCGAGCGCGCCGGGGGCCGCGGGCGCAGGTTGGGGTCGGGGGGGGGCCAGGCCGCAACGCGCTGCGCTCGCTGGTTTGGGTTTTCGCGGCGGTTCCGATCTCCGGGGCCCTCTTCGCATCGCTGACTATTCCCGCGGCATTTGCCGCCGCGGCCCCAGGGCAGACCGCCCCCGCCGCGGGCGGCGACCGCGCGCTTCCCGAGTTCGCCCAGATCGCGAAGGACAGCGGGCTGAGCATCGCAGTTTGCGCGGAGGTCGCGAAGACGATCGGGGTGGCCAGGGGGCAGCGGCGAGCGGCGCTCGGGAGCGAGCCCAACAGCCTGAAAGACAGTTGTCTTCGTCCTCTCACGCCCTTGGAGGCGCGCCCCGCGAGGCCCTCCGACATGCCCCCCAATGGGGGTGGTTGCGGGGCAGAAGGCTCCAGGGGCATCTGGCTATCGGCGCTTCAAGGCGCGCGGCTGCGCGCGCGGCAACTTTGAGGCGGTGGGCCCCTCGGTGCAGACCTTCGCGCAGAACTCGGGAATCGCCGGGCTCCGCATGGCGCTCGCAGTGTGCGCGCGCCTTCGGTGGGGCACGTCAGAATGTCTGCTTTCGACGTGTTTACCGCGTTCCTTACCGCTTTCCGCCTGGTGGGCAAGAAGCGGGTGGTCATCCGCCCACTGGCCGTCTTCGCCAAGTTCGGGCTGGTGCCAGTTGGCGAACGCTGGGTGGCCGAGAGAACAGTCCATGGCCTGCGGTGCTTGTCGAAGGCCTGGGGCGACTTGCGCGACACGGAGTGCCGCGAGCTGACGTCTACCGCCGGCCCGCGCCAGTGCCGCCTCGATCAGTCGGCGGTCGATGGCTCGGTCTGGCTCGTCAAGGCTGCCGGGGTGGACGACGTCTTAGGCTATTTGTTGAGCTACGTGGGGGACTTCCTGTTCGTTGGCTCCGAGAACGTGGCGGGGGCCCTGCGGACCTCCGTCGGCGCGCTCTGGGCTGCGGGCTACCAGGAGATCATTCCGCCCGATCGGCTGGGAACCATCCGGTATTTGTCCATCGACGCATCGACATCGGCATCGACGCCCATTGCCTGGCGCTGAGCCAGCGGATGGCATGTGGACTCCTATGGCTTTCGAACCGCGTCCGACCAGGCCCGCCCTACAGCATCCTACAGAATTCTGGGCAAGAACATATTGCGATACTTGGCGGCTACCCGCCAGATGGCGCTCTTTTGCGTACTGAGTGCCCCCCCATGAGCTGCTGGACGTCATCTGCCAGCTAGGCGCGCTCTCGGTTGCCAGCCGCGGCGACGCGGGTGCGCAGACAGGCGTCGCGTGTGTCATGTGCGAACGCATGCTGGTGGACTGCCGCCTCTTGAGGCGGCAGCTGGTCTGTTTCTCGACGGCCGGGGCGGAGGTGAACGGTTTCGCCTTCGGCTGCCATGTGCTCTGCGCACTGGAGGCTCTCGCCCACTCCGTGGAGCTGCAGGCGACCGCGGTCCTCCGCGGCTACAACCACGCGGCGAACCGCGTGGCCGAGGGTCGCGGCAGTTGGAGGACGAAGAGCCTTATGACTATGGACGAAGTCATTCGGAGCCGAGTCGAGCGCGGCATGCTGGATGTGATCTACGCGGAGACAGCTTCGATGCGCGCCGACGGGCTCGCCGAGGGCAAGGGGCCCAACCGCGCGTCGAAGGTCGGGGCCCACTTCGGTCTATGGGGCCACTGCGTGCGCGCAGCGCCAGAGCACTTGGCCCTGCCCCGGTCGAGCTGCGGGGTGTGTCTGGCGATGAGGGGTGCTATCGGGATTGTTAGAGGTCCTATGCACGTCCCGGCGCGCAGGATTCCAATGGAAGAGCGCGTGTAGGGGGTCCTCCCGCCATTTGCATCACGGAGTGTAGCGCGAGCATCGGCAGCATGTGCGTTTAGAGCATGCGCCCCCCAGGCTAAGGGGCCCAGGTGACCGGAAAACGGTTCCCGCATTTCCATGGCCAAGTGGCCCAGTTGACCGGAAAATTGTTCCCGCATTTCGGTCGCCGGTGACCGCTTAGATTGCCGTGTGGATTTTCTGTTTTTGCGACGCGCGGCGCGCGCGGTATAGCATAGTCGCTTTCCACGTGGTAGTCTAGAGGCCTCGTCAGGCCCAAGTCCCCGAAATTAGTCCAGAGGCCACGTCAGCAGGTCAACAATCCCCGGTGGCATTTGCCCCGCCGGTTTTTGCTCCCAGCGCGTTCTGGTGAGGCCTCTCTGGAACGCGCTGGGCGCAGTTCGGCTGCCGCAGCACGTGCTAGGTTGCCGCGGCTTGCGTGGGGACGTGTTGGGCCCAAAGTTGTGGGCGCAGTGTTGACAGTGGTAGCGCTTGTCTACAGGCATTTGCCTCCGCTGCGTTGCATCGCGCGGCGGCCCTTTTTGTCGCCCCCAAGTGGTGCGCTTGGCGTTGTGCAGAATCCGACCCAGTAGTGGCGCGGCAGGTTGATTAGAGCGCGAGGCGCTTACTCAATGTTTGCCCCTGCTCCCGGTTCTGCGCGCGGGGGCACCTCGGCTCAAGGCTCGACGTCCGAGCGGGGGGAGAACGCGGTGAGGGGCAACGAAGCGCGGCGGCGCCGTTTCCTGCTCCCTCTCGCCATCACTCGTACCGCCTCCTAGGCTTAGGATAAACCTGCCTATTGAGCGTTCCCCTCGCCATGCTCTTCCCATCGTGCCGGAGAGCAGCCCCAATCATAATTGTTTAGGGCTATGGGGCTATAGGGCTAGAAGGCTATGGGGCTAGTGGGGTAGAAGGCTATGGGGCTACAGGGCTAGAAGGCTATGGGGCTACAGGGCTGGAAGGCTATGGGGCTATAGGGCTATGAAACTACAGGTCTATATGGCTATCGGGCTATAGGGCTATGGGGTTATATGGCTACAGGGCTATCGGGCTATGAGGCTATAAGGCTATAGGGCTATGGGGCGATTGGGCAATCGGGCTATATGGGTATAGGGCTATTAGGGCTATAGGGCTATAGGGCACCCGGGCACTTGGGCGCCCGCGCACCTGGGCACCCGAACACCCAGGCGTCCGGGCCGGCCACCGAAATCGGCGAATCCGCTAGGACCCTTCCAGAGGCAAGCTCTGATTGAGGAGTCTCTCCTGCCAGAGTTCTCGAACTGCTGCGTCTGATAGCTGCGGGGGTGAACGTCCCAGAGATGGCGGACTTGAAGGAGTGATGGGCCCGCGCGGCGATCAATGCCCCGCGCGCTTCCCGGCAGGCGCCCCGTCCGACCGCGAGGCGCTGTCGAGCCCCCCTGCCCCCGCTCAAGTGGAGTTTTCGGAGGGCGAGGGGGGCCGAGAACCCTCCTCGAGTGGGGTCTTTGGGAGGGTCTAGGGGAGGTTGCTGGGTTTCCCCCGGCGCCCCCCCCGTTATTGGCGCTGCGGTGTTGACGCTGCGCTGCTGACGCTTCGCCGTTGACGCTGCGCCTTTGACACTGTGCTGTTGGCGCTGCGCTGTTGACGCCACGCTGTTGACGCCTAATTTCTCTGTTGGCACTGCATTGTTGCCGCTGCGCTGTTGCCACTGCGCTGTTGACGCTGCGCTGTTGCCGCCGCGCCGTTGCCGCTGCGCTGTTGGCGCTGCGCTGTTGACGCTGCGCTGTTGACACTGCGCTGTTGACGCCGCGCTGGGTTTTTTCTAGGGGGTTGGGGGGTGGTGGGTTTCCCTTTAGGGCCGCCCCCTCAATAGGTTTTTTTTTTTTCTGGGGGCGTGGGGGGGTTTATGTGTTTTGACCCATGCCCAAGGCCCCCTCGAGGGGAGTTCCCAAGGGGGGCGGGGGGGCTGGTGCCCCCCCCCTTCCCTTAGAACCGCCTGCGTTTTTCATTCTGGGCGCTTGGAGGGGTTGGTGAGTTCCCCACCTGGGCCCCGCTCGCAACGATGGTTTTCTTGGGGGTCGGGGGGTTGGCGGCTTTCCCCTCCGGGCCGCCGCCAGTGCCTTTTGACGACTGCGTCGCAGCGCTGTCGCGGGAAGTTTTGCGCGGGGAGATGGCGGAGTTGATGGCCGGCATGCCTGCGGTCGCCCAGCCGGGCGCCGAGGAAACGGCCAGGTCGAGGGTGCCTGCGGCGAAGGCCATCGCGGGCGAAAATCAGCTTGTCGATCAGGCCCTGGGTCTCCTTTTCCCTTTGGTTGTGCTTTCGTGTTGTCCGTTTGTGATTCTGTTGAATCGTGCGCGACCCTGGGGTTCCCCCAGTGTGAGATGGGTGCCAGCGGCAGAGTGCCCTGCCGCCTCTCTTTCTTGTTGTTGCCTGCCTCATCGTTCTATCCCCCTCTGGCTCGGCTCGCGTCGCCCGTCTGGCGGATCCGACGAAGACAGTGACGAAGAAGATGGTGGTGATGATGATGTTGTTGATGACGCTGGCGATCATGATGACGATGATCACGATGCTAATTATGATGGCCATGATGCAGGTGATGGTGTTGTCGATGATGGCGAAACTGATAATGATGATGATGATGAGGATGTCGATGATGGCGATGACAGTGATGCTGATGCTGATGCAGTTGATGATGATGACGATCATTTTGATGATGATGCTGGTGCTGATGCTGATGTTGGTGCTGATGCTGATGCTGGTAATGATGATGATGAAGAATGATGATCATGATGATGATGCTGATGATGATGATGACGGTGATGACGATGATAAAGATGCTGATGCTGAAGATGATGATGATGATGATGATGATGGTGATGGTGATGATGGTGCTGCTGATGATGATCATTATGATGATGAGGATGGCGATGATAACGGTGATGACGGTGATGAAAATAATGACGATTATGTTTTTGATGACGATCATGGTGGTTGATGATGATGAGGACGATGATGATGCTGATGCTGATGATGATGCCAATGATGATGGGGGTGATGATGACGACGATGACGATGATGATGACGGTGCTGATGCTGATGTCGGCGGTGAGGACGGTTGTGATAATGGTAATGACGATGATGGTGAAGGTGATGTTGATGTTGCTTGTTATGATGACGATGATAATGGCGCTGATGATGACGTTGTTGACGATGACGGCGATGATGACGATGTTGTTTTGAAATGATGATGAGTTTGATGACGCTGCTGGTGCTGACGATGCTGGTGCTAATGATGAATCTGATGATGCCGATGCTGATAATGACGATGGTGCTGATAATGATGACGCTGATGGCGCGGATGATGACGGTGAAGAAGATGATGATGATGATGATGATGATGATGATGATGATGATGAGGCCAATGTTGTTGATGTTGGTGATGGTCTTTATGATGATACGGATGCTTACGATGATGATGATGCTGGTGATGATGGCGATGCGGATGACGATGACGATGACGATGGTCATGATGACGAGCATGTAGTTGATGATGGTTATGCTGTTCATAATGGCTATTAGTTTGAGACGATGCCGATGCTGATTTTGATGATGATGATGATGCGTGATATGGTGATGATATTGTGTATGGTGATTACCATAATGACGTTGCGGATGATGATGGTGATGCTGATGTTGTTGTTGATGGTGATGTTGGTGATGATGGTGACGCATCCGATGATGATCGTGATGATGATGATTTTGGATGCTGGTCCTGATGAAGATGATGATGATAATCGTGATGGCGGTGGTGATGGTGCTGTTTTGGGTCATGATGGTGTTTTTTTGGTGATGATTGTTTTTTGTTGATGTTGGTTATGCTTTTCATGATGGTGATTGCGATGCTGATACTGGTGATGATTGTGATGGTGATGGTGATGGTGATGACGATAACTGTAACGATGATGGTGAAGATGCTGATGGTGATTCTGATGGCAATGATGCAGATGCTGATGCGAATGTTGATGATGACGATGATGACGATGATGACGAATGATGGATTCGATCATGACGATGCTGATGTTGTTGATTGTGCGTATTTTGATGATGGTGATGATGATGATGGTGGTCATGATGATGGTGATGGCGTTGGTGATGATGGGACATCTGATGATGACGATTGTGATGCTGATGCTGGTGATGATGTGACTGCTGCTGATTGTGATGGTGGTGATGATGGCGTTGATGATGGTGATGGTGGCGATGATAACAATCATGCTGTTGCTGGTGATGATCATTATTATATTTACGATGCTGACTTTGATGATGGTGATGCTGATGTTGATGATGGTCATGATAAGGATGATGATGATGATGATGATGATGATGATGATGATGATGATGATGATGATGATGATGAAAGGAGGAGGATGGTGATGATGATGGTGAGGAAGAGGAGGATGATAATGAGGAGGAAGACGAGAGGAACTCCACCTCCTCTCCTTGCCTCCCCGCCTGGAGATCATCTCCTCCAGAGGGCCTCGGAAGGTCAAGAATGACCGAACACGTTCAATCACTTTATCTCTTACCTCCAATCACGAGAGGAGTTCCTTCTCATCGGCTTGCTTCCCCTCCTGGATATTTTCTCCTCCAGAATCCCGCGGAAACTCAAGAACGGCAGAAAACGTTGAAACACGTGAATCAGTTCCCTCAATGACCTCTTCGTCGGCCTCCTCTTTCTTCCTCCTTTTTATGCACCCCAGGAGCGACTCACCGTCGGACTCCTCTACGTCAAGTTCTGGCTGCTCTTTCGAGCGCTCCATATCCTGTGGCGCTCTCATTTTCAGACGTCAGACCCGTCAGAACTCGGTCTTGAAGGTTCACGGGGAGCAGGCCTTCCGCTTCCTCCTACGTGTTCGCTTTGTCTCCACGCTTGTTTTCGAGCTCGACGTTCGGGCTTAGGTACACCGGAAAGGGCGAGGTACGAACGATGACGTTTTGGTGGGGCGAAGCCCTCTAGGGAGGGATTCCAGAAGCGCGGGCGAAACGTCGAATTGCCAGCTTCCTTGGTATTTGTTCGAGTGAAGCGGCCCCATGGCGGCACCAATGGCCCGATTCCGAGGATTTTTCCACATACGGCTCAAGGGCCCCAAGATGGCCCAAGAAGGCCCCGAGACGGCCCCATAGGGCACCAATACGGCCCCAAGAGAGCTCCAAGCCCAAAGAGGCTCCCAAGAGGGGCCCAAAAGGCCCCAAGGAAAGCTCCAAGCTGCCGAAGGCCTCCAAGACGGCCCAAGAGGGCCCCGAGACGCCCGATGAGGTCTCCAGGAGGCTTCCCAAGAGGGCCCAAAGAGGCAAACATCATGATTATTACTTGTTTTTTGCTAGTTTTGGGGGTTCTAGTTTTTCCTGGCCTAGAACGGCACTAGAGGCTCCAAAGATCGCCCCCGGATGGCTCACGAGGCTCCCCCAAAGGCCCGCAAACTGTCCAAGAGCCCCTTCCGAACGGCCACAGAAGGCCCCAGGACGGCCCACGAGGACCCCAAAATGGCCCCAAGAGAGCCCCATGAGGGCCCAAAGAGGCTCCCAAGAGGGCTCCCAGAGGTGCCCCAAGACAGCCAAAGACCTTCAAGACGCCCCAAGACGGCTCAAAAGGGCTCCAGGACGGACGGCTCAAGAAGGCTCCAAGACGGCCCACAAGGGCACCCAAAGGGCCCCCAACAGACTCCCAAGAAGCCCCAGAGATGCCAATAACCACCACGGCTTCCAACAGCGAGTGGTGACGTAACAAGTTCTGAACACCCTGGCTCCCCAGAGCGAGCGGCAACGTAAAAGTCTCTGAACACCAGGGCTCCCAAAAGAGAGCGGTGAAGCAACAAGCTCTTTACACCAAGGCTCCCAGGAGCGAAGGGTGCCATGAGCCATCTCGGGCAAGTTCCTGAAGCGCTCTTTCCGTTTCCATGCCCGGCCCAGGTGACGGAAAGAGCGAGGTACGAGCGATGTACGTTGAGTTGGGGCGAAGCCTTCTAGGGAGGGGTCCATGGGAGGGGCGAGGGGGGCAAGGACTGGATGTAATGGCCTCCTGGGAGCCGCTTCCCTTGTATTTTTCGATTAAAGCGGCTCCCGGGCGGCTCCCATTGCCCGTTGCCCCGGTATTTTTTAGAATGAAAGGCCAAGAGGGCCCCAAGACGGCCCAAGAGGGCTCCAAAACGTCTCCAAGACGGCCCCAAGAGCGCCTCAGATGGCCTCCAGACGGTCCAAGAGAGCCTCGAGACGGCTCCAGAGGCCTTCAAGAGGGCCCTCGAGAGGGCCTCAGGAGGCCAAAAACATTGATTTCCCAGAGGTTTTGAAGGTTTTTCGGGTCCAAGAGGGCCTCGAATCGGAGAAGCACAAGATGGCATCCAGACGGCCCAGGAGGCCTCCAAGACACTACAAGAAGCCTCAAAGAGGCTCACCGACGCCGCGGCCCGGCCGCTGCCGCAATCCCCGCTGCCGGTGCTGGCCGCTCCAGCGCGCTCGGGATGGAAGTCTTCCGCCTTTGGGTGCCCCCGTCCTCCTCCCTCGATTCTGCCGCCGTTGTGTCTGTGTCAGTCCTTCCATCTGCATGCTGGGCCATTCGCTCTTGGGCTGCCCCGAATTGCTTGACCGCTGGTGCGGGATACTTTTGCCTCGCCGCCGACGGAAAACATGTTGGTGAGTGTTGCCGCAATGGTACACGAGCAGTTGCGAGGGTGATGAAATCGTTCGCTTCTTAAGTGTCGAGCTAACCAGTAGCGCATAGGTGCAGCTTTTCGGTAAGGCATTTCATGCCGATGACAAGCATATGCGTGTGATCGCAGAGGCTTTCTAGATTGCAAGAATGGCCCCACGGTGCAATGGTATCGTTAAACATGGATTATCTCCCAGCTGTCTTTGCTCGACACCTCGATCTGCAATGGCTGGATGGCTGTCGGAGACGGTATTGGCAACAACCTGGAGCGGGTGACGCACGATGACTTGCAGGATTGTTGCCAAAACCGACGGGTTGAATTGTCACAAGATGTTGAACCATATGTTTGATATAGCAATGCAGCGACTTGACGGGTAAAACCAAGGCACCGAAATGTCATGTGAAGGGGAGGCGAAAGGGGAAATCATGCGTAGGCTTCTGCGCCCTCAGGAAGCCGCTATGCGTGGGAACGTCCCGCTCATGCGCCAGCTGATTCGTGCAGGGGCTTCAGTGAATGCACCAATGCGACCTGAAAGCGACGACGAGTTCATGACCCTCTTGCATATCTTCGCGATGAAACCCGAGTTGCCCAACGGCATTCAGGTGATCTCCGAGATCATCAGGGGCCGGGCAAACCTCAATGTGCGAAGCTCACTGGGGTCCACTCCGCTAAGCTGTGCCTGTTTCGTGAAGCATCCAGGCGCGGTGAAGGTTCTCTTGGAAGCTAAAGCTGATGCTTCGCCGACAGACGACAAAGGCTGTACAGCAGTCCGATGCGCAGTGCTGCCTCCTGTCGACCCTGGGCGTTTTGAAGCTGCCGAATGGATACTGAAGTGCGTGGATGTCCTGAAGCTACTGGTTGCAGCAGGTGAGACTTCGCATAGAAATTTCAGCGGCAGCATGCCGCAGCAACGCTTGCAACGCACCATGATTCAACACGAGTGCTCTCCTCTTGCACCTTGATTGGTCTTCGCTGGCGGGGTTTGAGCTGCCTCCTGGTGTGCGTATTTGTCTGTGTGTGTGCTTAGGGTGGATGGATTGAGTTCAGCATAAGAGGTGTGCAAAGGTTAGGCAGCCAGCCGACCGCACGCCCCACCCTTGAAATCATGTGTGCGCCAGACACAACTTCATGGCGGTCACGTTGATGCCTCTATTGATCTGCTGTTGCAGCCAGCGGGGTTGCACAAAATGATTCAGATTCGTCGCTTATTGGCTACTGCAGTGAGATTGTTCAGATGCGTCGCTTGTTGGCTACTGCCGTCAATCCAGAGTGAAGGTCCAAGTGCGAAATTGTTAGAGTTCTTTGATCGTTGTGTTGGTGTTACCTGGACTTCATCTGAGCATTGTGTTATATTCGCGGACATCTTGGGCTCCTCGCAAGGTTTTTCGCCGCGGTGAAGCATCCTGGGAAGTTCTTTCGACACATCTCAGATTGATTCGGGGATTCCATGGGAGGCCTCTGGTGGTTTCTCGGTGAAAACATCAGGGGCGCGAGGACTCAAGTGTTCGAGCCTAAACCTCAGACGTATCGATGTTTCCCATATGCGGGCCCTGGATTTCTCGATCCCTTCCCGTGTACCTGTTCTCGATCCCGGAATTTCTTTGATGGCTTCATTCGTTCACTCATTCACATCATTCGCCCCGAGGTTCAAGCATCACAAGCTAGTGCACGACACGCAGCTCGCAACTCTCCTTCAAAACGGAGCGATGTCCCAGCTTTATTGCGGGCCTAAAAACCCCCACCCTATGTGGTGGTCTGGCAGCCGACGGGCCCGACAGAGCCCCAGCCTGAGACCCACGACCTCTGACGTGTGGAGAGATCGAGGGGATCACACCAGAAAACGGGACGATCAAGTTTGCGATCGATGCCAAACTCTAGCTTGTTGCAACAGGTGCTTGCTCGAGACTAAACTGTCAGAACTACGACTACCAGGGAAAACATTTTTAGTGGCCAGAAACATCGTGCACACTCGAAGATCCGAGACGGGGGACGGGCTAAGCCTGCTCCTGGTCTCAACTGGGGTCGCCTCACTCTCACGCAGTGCTGTAGCTGGGATACTCTCGCTCATTGCTGCAGCCTCACCCCCGCTCGAAGCCTTTTTGTCAGTACTCCCGCCATGAGCTGTCCTCCCACCCATTCTCGTGTCCTCGGTGATTACATCAATAGCTGTTCCACCCATTCCTGAAGCTCCCGCTTCATGTGCGTCGCTGGGGCTCTGCCGTACTTCCGCTTGGCTGCCTGTCGTCTTCAGCGCCTGCATCAGGTATCCCCGAAACAGTGGCTCGCGGACCGCGAGCATCAGCCTCTTCTTCTCCTTCTCGTACATTCGGTCGACCTTGCAGAAGAGCACCAGCTCGGACTTCTGCTCGTTGTCGTAGTTGTCGTAGTCCGTGAACAGTTTTGTGACCTGTGTCTTGAGCGGGTCCTCTAGTTGAAGCTCCTTCACCGCTGCAAGTAGGCCTCCCATCGCGTAGATCTTTGGAGGTCCGAGGTCGTGATTTTTTCCCTTCTCCTTGGTGGCCTTGCCGTAGGCGGCTGTCTGCTCCTGAATGCGAAGGATGAGCGGGCTGTCGCTCTTGAAGACCCAGGTGTCGAAGATGACGCTGCTCATGTCGCGGTTCTGCTGGGCACAGCGGAGTTAGTTGTTTCACGATGAGCGTCATCAACTTCTTGGTGTGAGTGGGGAGCTGTTGTTTCGCCGCCTCGTACGTCTTCTTCTTGTTTTCCTCGTCGTCCCCGTCCTTTCTCTGGCGCTGGTTGCGCTCGAAGGGCATCTCAGTGTCGCCGTTGCCGATCTGCAGTAGCGCCGGCATGGTCGAGAAGTGGGCTTGGCCTCGGAAGGTGCTCGATTCTGCTGTGCTCGTAAAGTGAGGCCAGATCTGAAAAGGCTGCGGAACAGAGGGCGCACGTGGGGTCCTTCACGTTTGTCAAGGGCCATTTCATAGTGTTCCGTCCCATACGACATCGGCCCTGGGCGTAGGCAAAGATAAGTTGATTTTGGGCGCAAGCTCGGCTTTTCAGGATCGTGTAGCAATTAGGGCACTGGTTCGTGATCACACTGCTCGGGATAGTAAATCGAAGTCTATGTCGAGAGGCTTGATGAGTAGTTAGCTGTCGATAATTCGGGAATGTAAGTTCACAACCTCATCCAGTTTCGTGATCTAGAAGTTCGCACTTAAATACCTTCGGGTTCACATCTGTCATGTCCGTGGGGGTGTCGTAGAAGCGAGGCCATATGGGGCTCCCTGGGGCGTGTGCTGCTGCTCGTAGAATGCCTGGATCTAGTCTAAGAAGAGCTTGTTCGGACTCGGAGTTCGGGGTGAGGAGGGCCTTCCAAGACTTGTTCGTGTCCGTCCAGATCTCCCAGAAGCTTTCCGTGCCGCTGATGTCCCTGAGGAGGTCGAGGTCCCTGGAAATCTGATGGGCCCATGGGTTCGCATTCGTTCGGGATGTGTCCGAAAATGGCGACCAGGGTTTGACGATGTGCTTGTTTGTGTCGGCACATGCTCTGAAGCCATTTAATTCGTCTGACCGCTAGCTCTGCTCTCACTGGAAGGATCTTCCACTGCTTGAGAACCTCGACGTTACTCATCGCAGTCATGTGCGAGTCCACGTGGATCTTCTTGGCGCGACCCTGCATCAAGGCACGAAGGTACTTCACGGTTTGGGAGTCCAGCTTCTTCTCCTCGGTTTTCTTCAGGACGAAGGCCTCCAGACCCGAGAGCCCAGGCTCGATCACTTTCCCTAGGAAGATGTCACGCTTGAGCTTCCAGAGCCCTCTCTCGTTCCAGAACTTTCCCAGCTGGCACCATCCCACGGTCATAGAGTGCACGCGATTCGAGATCTCCAACTTGTTACTGTCTGTCATAGTGTAGCGAGCTCCGAGGTGGCGGACATCTGACACGACAATTCCCTGGGAAGGAGGGCGAACTTCCTGGAGCTTCCGATTCTCGACATGAGACCCGAGGCAAGGAACGATGTTTTTTTTGATTTATTCTGCGCAAAGTGCCAATGGTGGAGTACATAGTCGAAAAGCTTGCCTCCCGCATTAATTATCTCCATCGCCTCCTCTGCCGTGCCTGACGGGCACAGTCGTTTCTTCAGCAAGTCGTCGGCGAAGCCTGATAAGGATACGTCCTGGTGGTATCCCTCTATCTCGTCATACATAATGATCGGGTCCTGGGTGAGATTCTTCCCATCTGTAATGCATTCATGATAGACGCCTGCGAACTGTTTGGGGGCTTCGCTTGATCCCTGCAGTCCGCCGTCGTGAAGTAGGAACGCCTCCTCATTGTCCTCCACTGGAATAAGCACAATGCTGTTCACCAACCTTTGATGCGCCAGTGCCTGGAGGTCGTCGCGTACGAGTTGTTGGCTAATGTGGAGGAGGTCCCTTGCCCTTGTGCAAAGGAACGCATTGGTAAGGTCATGCAGCTCGTTGATGTGGTGTTGCTTCTGGCGTCGGAGTGACCAGCCTGCCCGTCGTTGTACCAAGATTGATCCTTCGCGGCGTCGGCGTGCTAGGAATCCATGCCAATGGCTGGGGATAGTATTCGTCCAGGACAGCTTGCGATCCCCCCAGCCGTAGAGTACAGCGTAGAAACTCTTCCAGATCGTGTCTGAGAGGTGAAGGATTCGCTGGCTGGACATCTGCTTCTTCAGGTTGCGTTTGTCGAGGAGGATGCCGTCGGTGATGCTGGATTTGGTCGGGAGTTAGTTGGCCCGAAGGCAGTGGATGAGGATGTCCATGACGTGGGACTTGGCGTTGGTGTAGTGGGAAGCTGCGTCCAGTGCGTTGTGTCTACCGTCTTACGCTCGTGTCGTGTGTGAGTGTTGGTCAGGGCTGTGGTCGAAAGTCGTCGGGGCTGGTGCTGGTTGGAGGTCGAGGTCAGGTGCTGGTGGGCGTTCGTCTGGCGTGGGGGGGGGGTCCTCGCCGTCGAGGTCGTCGACTGGGTCAACGTCGGGTCGGTCCATATTCGTGAGCGCCCCCCAGTGGTTCGTGGTGGCCGGCGTCGGGCTGTTGTAGTGGTGTCGGTGTAGTTGAGGCAGGGATGAAGTGGATGGTGGTAGATGGGTTCGTCGTCGGCATCATAGTGAATGTGGTCGTAGGCTCAGCTGGTGTGGTGGTGTAGTAGCCCATGCCACCGTGCGTGGTGAGCGTCTTTGCCAGGTACGTCGGGTCGAGCAGTAGTGCTGCGTCGTTTCTTGGCCCGTCGTAGTCGAAGTAGAAGTTGTTGGAATAGAGTGTCAGCCGTGATCTCCATAGTCGTAGTGCGGATGCGCAGGACGTCGTCATCTTGAATAGAAATAAATTGGTCCAGTTCGGCTCGTAGATCGATGTGTTGTGCTCCCATGCCTCCCTCGCTGCCTTGGCGTTCGACATGGCACGACGCTCGGCGAGGGAGGGCTTGTAGCTAGTGAGATGGCAGTATATGCGGTTCTTCACCCCCATAGCCTTGCCCGCGAGGAGCCGTGCAATACGATGTACGTCCGCCGCGTGCCCCAGTCGTCGAGCCTCCACCAGCTCCTGGTACAGGTACTTGCGGTAGGTCGCATAGCCTTGCCGTGCCGCTCTTCGGATGGGGTACGTGGCCTCATTGATCTCGCTCTTGAGGGTGTTCAGGTAGACTTCGTGCTGGTCCAGAACTTCCCCGTAGACCTGCCACAGGTGGGCAAGTTGGCCGCGTAGTTGTCGGCGAGCTCGTAGTTTCTCGAGGCGTATGCGGCGCCAGTGGGTGACCTCGTCGTGTTCGTGTCTGACTCCGTGAACTCCGAAATGAGCTTGAGCGGTGTCCAACAAGGTCTGGGCCCACAGGTCGTAGTCGAAGTCAGGATGCGGCAGGTCGGCATAGTTGGAAAGCTGGTTGGTAATGTCTTTCATACGCTGGTCGAGCTCTCGGTGGAACCCGAGTCGGTCTTCGCCGTGTTATAGTGCTCCGGCTAGTTTGGTGTGGTCCCATCTGGGTCGCAGTTGGCGGTGGACGAACGTGGGCATCTCGTAGTCGATCGTGAAAAACACGGGGAGGTGGTCTCTGGGCTGGGCGTCGGGGATGAGGTGAAGCTTACGTCCGCGTTTCCAAGCAACAGTGGACGTCTTGATACCCTCGAGGAGGGATGATGCGATGTGGCCAATGTCTATTGTGCTGGTGTCCTGTCTAGGTCCGTAGTCCGTAGGCCCTGCGCTCGGGTAGTAGGTGTTCACGCAAGCAATGTCGAGGGACTCCATGGTGTTGTACACCATATTGCCTGCGATGCCGCTCCGCTTGAGGTGAAAGGCGCCGAAGTGCTGCTCATCTGGGTCGCGTCTAGTCTCCTCCGTCATCCTCTGGCCGAGC